CAGTATCACCCATCCAAGGAAGTCCTAGCACTGTAGAGAGGATCTGGAGTAGCCATATTGGCTATGAGACGATGAAGTGTGGCTCCAGACCAGAGCTAGGCCCTTTTATATGGCAAAACAGTGCTTCTGGCGGTGTTTCTGGGCGTGGACCCTGCCTGGGTCACCCTCGATGGCTCCTGGCATGCGGTAAGTCTATTAAGCCAGAGCATGATAGGTAATTGAGGTGCCAAAGGTCCTTAGGCAATCCCACATGCGGTGAGGTCATGCGAATGTGCCAACAGCAGAAGTCTAATCTGTCAACGACACCGAAAGTTTTTTAGACATACAGCCAAATATCTCAATGAAGTTTGTTTTGAAAATTCTATTCATAAATATTCTCAATTGGAATTAAAAATACCAATGCGTTTTGATTTTCCTTGAAAATGTTTTATTTGGTTGGTGCAAAATTAGTGTCCACTTTCTAGACTCTTTTCCGGATGACTTTTTTTGAAGAATTATGAATGTACTGCAATATCCTGTATATCCTTCATGTACTTTGATTCTAGCCTTATCTGTTAGAATTTGCTAGAATTTTAAACACTCGCTCATGAAATCGTAATTTTGTAGCATCCACTTTCCTTGACAAAATTCAAACTCACATAGTCACTTTTTCTAGTGCGATAAAAGAAATCAAATTTTCCGAACCAAAAAGTCTTCTAGTCAACCATCCCTTTAGTTCTACGCATTCTTCATCACAACTACGCTTTTCTCCACTGTAGACAATGTTTATTTTTTGAGATCTCACATAATGTTTAAGTCTTGTTTGTTTTCGCCAATGAGATTTCCTCCAGATTCGATTTCTTAGCACTGAAGGGTGACTGCATTAGGTTTTGCTAAAGTTTCTATCGATTACATTTCTAAAATGAACTAAAAAAGAAACTTTAGCAGTAGCTGTTCAGACCCAACTTATTAGGGTTATTCTATAGCAAAAAGCAAAACATATGACACATAATTCGTCGAATTCGCGCTCACAAATCACAATTGTTCAGAAGTCACAGCCAAGTCACAAACTTTATCTCTCACCTTTCAGTACAGATGCCGGAGTTTGAAAATTTAACGCACTTTCTCAGCTTGAATGAATATTCTGATCCGATACTTAATAGAAAGAAAAAACCTTGCGCTTTCATGTGTTTGAATGTATTATAGATTCATCGTTAGCGTATGGCAGCGATATAAGCTGCTTAAGAAAAATATCCAAAAAATGATTTTTCAAAGCTTGGTTTTCAAAATTGCTAAAACTTCTACTGAAACCTAAATTTGTTCTTGGTCCTGGCTTTATGACCTACTCTTTTTAAACGCAAGAAGTTGGTAATGATCGGATGTGTCTACGAAAGTTAGATTTCCATTTTCTTGATTCGACTCATTAATTTTGTCCCGCATTCATTTCCTAAGATGTATTATAGAATACTACTTTCCATATCCTTATCAACTCCTATGTAAATCGATAAAATTATGTAAGCATTTCATAGAACTTTTTTGGTGCAAGAATTGTGCAAGCCCTATACTATTAAATTATTTCTAGTCAACCTGGAAAATGTGCGCGGTATCTTGAATAAAAATGCCCGTCAGAACCTTTGCGTAGATAACGAGAAAAGGATGCTCTAGCGATATCAAAGTTCACATCAAGGAAAAGTTAGGATATAAATAAAATGGGAAAATCAATGCAGTGCTAGTGTGTATTCGCCTCGATTCTCCATTCACTGAATATATAATCATCAAAGAAAAAATAACGCGCCAAAAATGTGACAAAGCACAATAAATGGATAGAACACGACATGTACCAAATTAGCAGCCTTAAAAGTGCTGCTTAAGTGAAAAAAAGTTGACACAACCTAAAAATATTTGGTGCGCAGAATTGGCTGGACATGTGAAATTTCGCAACCCCGTTCTATTTTTATCGAGTGCAGATATGCAAATCCATCATAGTGTGAGGAGAATGTGACAGATGACGAATACTACGGCGGAAAGCACACAAAAAGTTTGTGATCGCAAATGCAATCATCAAATTAATGAAAATCAGCGCGATTAGTTTAGGACAGAATAAGTTTGGAATTTTTTGGTTTGAGTCTAGACCATTATCTTATCTATTTGAAGGCAGCACTGATCGAAAAACACTCCACACTGACGTTGACGCAAACAATTCTTATCGGACACTTCCGACAGGTAATACTTTGAACTTTTTTATTGCAAGGCTTCTGGCTTTAATCAAGAAAACTCTCCTTGAAAGTTTCGCAAAAATTGGACTTAAAATTAAGACAACGAATGATACGGTCAGTCACCTCAACCCACAAAGAAACTGTTTGCTAATCGAGTCAATGTTAAATAAATTTTTCATGCTTGTAAAAATCACTACGCGCCGGAATGCTTGAAATTCTTGTTACTAGAAAATAAGAGTGCAATGAGATATTCAACTCCATTTTTTTCCCCTTTTAACAAATTTATACTTTCGGTATGTTTTTTCAAGCATTTCCAGTAAATCCGCATAATCTACACAAACAACACAAAAGCGATAGTCGATAAAATACCCTCCCACTTCAAAAATATTTTCGAAAAAAATCAGTCAATATTTGTGTGACCGAAAACATTTGTTTGTTTACAGTTTCCTATTTACATTTCTTACATGCTTGATTCAAAAATATCTTTAGAAAAATGAAGACTGCACTTTTATCGTAAGCCGAATTGTCACTGGATTGAATGAATGAATTGCTGAACATCTGCTGAATTCATCCTAACAGCTTTTCGGAATTTTTTAATCAAGGGCCTTTTTTGGAATTTGCAACAAACAGCAGAAATGAGACATCTTTCCATAAATTTGCGGCAAGACATTTTCAGCCATCCTCCGGTTCATTTTAGTTTGTATTTCTGCAGATTTAGCTTTTCTAATTAACTGGAATCGAGTTCAGATTAAACAAAATCAATAAGCAGTTTTATTAAGTGTGCTTTTCAGTCAAATGCAATGTTTTGAGTACAGTACCTCTGCAAATTCTTTCAGATTTTGACTGACCACCAACCAATAAACTAATAATTTTGTCTTAGTAGATATTATCTACTTCGTCAGTTACGTGAAATCGCATTAGCCAGATTTAATTGCCTTGAATGTTGATCTTTTGATTTCCGGAATAAGTTGGAATACTCGTTCTTTTCACAATAATAGTAATCAGTCCTAACTTTCTGAATTGCATTCTTCGTCGAGATTATAACAGAAATCCGTTAAGCCGAGTTCATTTTTACGAACAGATTTTTCCAACATTCAGTAGCAAAACCGTTACAGTGCAAAAAATGCACTTTGCAATGTCGATAATTTGCTGTTTAGTGATGACGTCGCTCTGACGGGCTTGTCTGAACGATTGATCATATGAAGAAAAAAAAAGACTAATAGCTGCTGCTATGATTAGAGTGACGACGTCACGTCTGGAAATTACTACAATATCACAGAAAATTCCATCCTAAGGAAAAGAATTTAGGACACAAGTCTCACTTCATTGGGACGAGCATTCAATAAAAATTTTATGCAGTAAGATGGACGTTGCATTCACTACTATTTTTTTTATCATTGCAATTTCTGCGCTTGATTGTTTTGAATTTATAGGTTTGACCACAAATCTGTTGCACAAAAAACATCTACTAGGTTGATCCAGAATTCTTGCACCAAAACGTGTGAAAATTTCTTTGTCAGATTTAGAGAAACGTGATATTAATCAATGTTGTAATTATTTGCGAATTATGGATGCTCTATTTTACTACGCCTACTAGAGGTTTTATAAGAAAATCATGTCAATCAAAAACTCGAAAATTGTGACTATTTTTAGACACATCCAATCTACAAGAACTTCTCTGTTGGTCAGAACAAGCCGTAACCACATTCGAAAGAGCAGTTAAATTTTATTGAGAATCCCATATTTTTCGCGAAAAATTCAAAAAGATACGGATTGAGTATTATTATTCAGCTTCTTTATGAACATGACAAAATAGATCTTTGTCAAAGCAGGCTCAGACGTGCATGGTTTCCTATTCCTAATCTGTATAAAAAGGTACAATTCAAAAAAAAGAATTATATTTTTTTCAAACATTTTGGTGCAAAATACATGATCAACCTGATAGACTAATCTATCAGGAAGAAACTTTCGCCTTCTTAGATAAAAAAAAGTCTTCTGAATAAAATCTATGCTTTCTTCCTTTTTCTCCACCTGACATTCGGAAAAATTTATATGGGTTGGTTTGGGACAGTATTTCTGAATATAGCCAAGAAAGTAGGCAATCTTTCAGATTTTTGTGGGTAATTTTAGCATAAGACGAGTGAACGCACTCTTTGATTTTGAGAATGGTCTCATAACTTGGAAAATGATTTTTCGATTTTTCGCTGTTGCTAAGTGAGGTAATCTTCCCTATAAAAGTGACTGTTTTTCGACCACACAACCATGACTTTATTTCCAAAACGAGCACTATGAATCACCAACCTTGAACAAATCGGCTAAATTTTTCATGTCTTGTTTAGGGCCATACCCTAGTTTAGGATATGATCTCCAGCTGTGAACATCTGCTTTTCAAGCTGCTCCACAGCTCCCAAACCAGTCCGCGCGTATCCCCTACAGCGCGGGTCAACAGTTTTTCAGCGTGCTTTACCATGCCTACAAGAGCGTGAATTCCACCGCTCTCGCGCGCTATCTGCACTGTCCATCTTTGAAAAGTAGGCGGTAGCGCGATCGATCGAGACACGAAGAAAACGCTCGGGACGATGACGGCGCTCTTCGACGTCGACGACGATCGTATGAAGGCTGTGCCTGTGTTGGCATAGGTGTTGGCGCTGGCGGAGGTGGCGGCGGCGGTGGCGGCGGCGGCGGCGAAGGCGGCGGCGGTTGTGGCAGAGACGAAACATGACGAGGGCACGGCGAAGACATCACACCATCGTCACACGGGCAGAACACACAACACATCGACAGAGACGGTGTCGGACTGTGTGCATGTGCCTGTGCGTGTTGTGCGTGTGTACGGGGAGAGAGAGTCCGTGCGTGACCTTGGAACACACCACCATCACCGGCGCTGAGTCGCCACCGCCGCCGCGCTCTGCGCAAACCCCTGCCACCCGCTGCTGCTGCTGTACCTCAAGACGTCGACCACAGCACCTGCCCCGGTGAGTTGGCCAGTGTTTTTTTTTCTCGCTCCATTTTTTTCTTCAGAACTTTTATTTCTACCTTTTGCGGCTATGCGTCAAAAACAAACAATTTACTGAGAAAATGTGCAAAAAATTGCGTGGGAAGGACGGAAAGTTTTGTTTTGATGAGATAATGGGGTTCAAAGTATTAATTTCTTAATAGATGTATGCTGAGGAGGTTTATAAAACCAAATATCTCTTCTTTTTGAACGAGACATCAATTCATTCATCATAAAAATTTCTGATCTACCCTTAACTGTCAACCCTTAACTGATTTCCCTTAACTATGTCCCTTTTTCGTTTGCTTCTATTTTTGAGCCGAAAACTCTCAAGCATAAAATTTGAAGAACTGCAATTCGAAAGAAGTAAAGCAAAATAATTCGAAACTGACAAGTCTATTTCGGGGCTTGAAAGTGGCTACGAACGAATTTTTAAGATGATTGTTAATCATTGAATATTGAAAAAGAAAGTTTCTTCTTTTGAAGAAAAAGAATAACGTATTAGCGGAAAACTAGTCTTTTAGAGTAATACTGGCGCAATTCTGAAAATCTTGTTCCAAATGGCCGAAACGCATGAATTCTCTTTTGAATTTTTGAAAAAAGATTCCTAAGGATTTTTTCAAAAAAATTCATTTTGCCAAATGATACACGATCTAATATTTTTGTGCGAAATGCTTTTTTACATGATGCAATGATTAATATTGATGTTGAAACCAGAATACATAAAAATGCATTTCCTAATAAAAAAGCTGAGGTGTTCTTTGAACTCAAATTTCCGATATTCTTTAAAGCCAATAAAAAACTTTCAACTTTCTAGGAGGATAGATATATTAGCTATAATCAAATAATCAATTTCCATCCTTTAAAGTTATTTTTGGCTCGATTTTTGTCTATATAGAGAAAAAAATCAATGGAAAAAACTCACGTCTGCCAGCTTTTTGAATGTGGTCGATGGTCGAACAGAGAGAATCAGAATAAGCACTATTGAAGTTGAATGGGACCACACAGACGCACACACGTACACTCGCACAACACACCGACGGCGTGGGGTGCGCAGATCCGCGGAGCCGGGTCGTGTCGGGCGCGGGGGTGCCAGGCGGCGGGGGCGTCGTTGTCGCACACGGGGGTGATGGGGAGCTGCTGCTGCTTCGGCGGCGGTGGCGGTGCTGATGGGGCCAGAAAGACATCTGGCCGAATTCGCGCCGAATCGTCTTCGGACTCGAAAAACGGCGCGACATTTTGAAAATTCGAAGCTCGCATCCCCGTTTTCGCGTTGTCGCGCACGTTGGTTCTCGTCGACGAGGTCGTGTATGTGCGTGTGCGGGTGGTGGACGGGACGGGGCTAGCGACGGGCCCCCGTGGCCTTGACCGCAGTGACGACGGGCGCAGCGGCTTCGACTCGCGAAAAACTCGGTCGTCTCCAGCCGCCAGCATGCGCGCACACAGCCCGACCGTCTTGTGCCAGTCGACCCGCTCCTTCTTATCCTGAGAGATTTTCCAGAACGTCGTCAGCTGATGCTGACACATCGGAACATCGTCAGTGGAAGGTAGCTGGGTGAGCAGCTATTTTTAGGCAATTTCGAGAATTTTCCGTGTCCTACCCCGATCTGGATGTCCCTCTGAGTCATACTCGATGTGATATGACTAGAGACACATTCAGCTTGGCTGCAGGACTCATTTCCAGTTTTCTTTTCTTTTCTGCTAGGTGATTTGTTTGAATTGAATTTATCCCTTCCTGACTCTTGCTCTGAAAAGCAGTGAAATTTCAATCATTCTGATTTATCTGTTGCCGAATCTCAATTTCTACGACACAGAGGACCATCAAGTTCAGCTATAATAAATTCCGCTTCTGCTCAATTTTCTCGAACTTCTAGACTAAGAGCGCTACAGTAACCCATCGTTTCCTATTCTCCTGTGAAATCAGCATATATGGCCCCGAATCGACCTAACATGTTTCGATGCTATCAGTGCGCCGATTTAAGACTCCGCTTTGTGAACATACTAGGCCAAAGTTCACAAAATTCAAACGATTGACATTTAACCCCGCCAAATCGCAACAGAACCGGAGAAAAGTGACGTACGTTTTGAAAAAGCGCTAGTGAAGTAGTTCACTATCGATTTTGATTGACGCATAAAATTTCTCTTGAGAATGTTAGGCTGCATCAACTCATATTTTACAGTGAACTCGTATGAAAATATTTGAATAAGTAGATTGTTTATTAATTATTCTTCAGTTTGATGTTTCCAAAAGTTTGCGAACGGATTCAAGCACTGTTTGGTATTAAAAATACAGGTAAAAAAGGAGTAGACTTTTTCGAAAAGAAAAAACCTCAAAAAAGTGGTGCAGGAAAACGAGACTAGATCTTCCACTAGTACTGTAGTGAATTCTGAATCAAAAGTTCAAATATGAAAGTAGAGTCGGATACAATCAATTTTAATTTCTTAATCGTTGGCAAAATATTAAAAGTTCGTACTCTAAAATGCAAAGTTCTGAGTAGATAGTTTCTGATTACAGAAAGAAAAAACTGCAGAACAAATATTCACTGCCTGTCCCATAAATATTATAAGACACGTCAGACTACCCTCCATCTACTACAGCATGCAAAAAAAACTCGGAAATTCCAGGGAAATTTTTGCTGGAGAGTTAAGAGACGGGCACACTTCACGCGATCAGTCGGGACGCAGTTTGGCAATATTCCAGCTGTCCATAACTCACTGTAAGCACATTTTAAATGTATAGAAGATAGGACATTTTATCAATCCGCGTAAGTTATACACACTATGCAGTGCAATTTGCTAGTGTTGGATCTGAAGACTTGTGGCGAATTGCTAAATCGCGTCGCGACTGAAATCGCGTGAAGTATGCCAGGCCCTTTAGGCATATTAGGACTTCACTGTGATATAACTGTGGAAGTTGCTTCAAAAAACTTTTCTTGAAGCTTTGTAATTATTAAAACAAGATTAATCTGTAAAACCAGGTACCATTCATTCTTTAAACCATTTATAAGTTTAACCTCATTTTCTTTGAAGAATTAGCAAGATTATTTAATGCACCGCGAACATTGCTGATGCTATCAAATCTGTTATAGTATCTTTTTTCTAAGAGATAGTCTGATATGCAAGTACAATAACCATCACTTTTCCACTTCAGATCATTTCTCGCTATGATTCCGCTTTAATTTGAATCGCTTCAAAAACGAGTTCATAAAAGCAGCTGCCTCAGCACGAAAGCTGCCACCTGCTCACCACGCGATACTGTCATAGAGCGACACGAAGTGGTACATTGTCTTGAGAAAAAAAATGTTACGAATTTCTTCAGGTTTCTTGGCGTGTAAAATGTGTTTTCAATAATTTATCTCAAATTTACAATGAGAAATTGAATTGAATCCTAATAACAAGAGAAAAAAAACAAAGAAGCAATGATCATATGTGTGCTTTCTTCCAACAAAAAAAATGTTATCCCGATCGGTCTTAGATGAGATAGAATGATAGTACAAAAAATTCTGACTGCAGGTGCAAAGAGAGAAAGAATCAACTAACATCACCGATTTATAAATCGAACAATTGTACACCGTAGTGTGATTCATCTCCTCTTCCCCTCACTGAGATCATCAAAACAAACAAGCACAACAAAAAAACTTGACAAAAAAATGTAGGACTACTATTCCTTTACATCTACCTTCAAGGATGCCGTTGTGTCTGCTACCCATTTCTTACCCTGCTCTCCATCAATAAATTCGACGGTAAATTCGATGTTGCATGACTTAACATATTTTTCGTACCAAAGCCAAAACGACCCACAGCCTTACCTGCTTGAATTGCATCAAAAAATTCGCAGTGAAATGAATGTTCTGAGTAGGTTTGACTGTCCGCGTTTCGCTGTAGTTGTTCTACAAAATTTTTAAGGAAACAATGAAAACGATAGAAAAAAACCGGAAAAAATACCGCTGGAACTGTTGGAAACTGCATATTCGCCGTGATTATGAGAGAATGCACAGGTGCTGGATGCGTTGTTGAAATCACACCATCCACTTGTATGGGTACCGTATCAGTTACCGATACCGTAATCCCATCTTTGATTTGCGAATGGATCGATACCGACATCTATAAAAAAATTGATTATTCAAGCCACTTCGAAAAAACAGTGTCAAAATGAAGTGACCCACCTGGATATTTGTAGCGTACATCTGTTGGAAGAAAAATCTTGGCATGCAAAGCGGGTAGGTGTAAAGGTTATGAAGTACTTCAGCGAAGTGTTTCAGGGACTAAAATGGGCTAGATAGACCACCAAGCAATCTATTTCTGGTTCAAAAATAACTATTTATGTAGAGATTTTAAATCAGTACCTGCATGGTAATGGCCTCATCCTGTGCAGCTAACTGATCTATCTGACTTGACGCAAGCCTAAGTTCTTCCAAAAATAACTGGATTACAGTTGTGTTGCTCGATGTAGATGGTAGTGGAGGCCTAAGAGTTTCAATAAAAATCATTCTGGAAAGAAATTTCTACAGATTTGTGAAATCCCACTTAGTCGCAATCCGCTCTGTAATGCAATTCAGAGCATATTGTACCAAAGCACACTGTTTATGCTGTAGATCCAAAAAGTCAATGGACTCCTCGTCCGCGCCAAAGGAGGATCTAGCTAAGTGCAGCCATTCTTGACAAGCTCTCGTAATTGCGTAGTCGCATGCCACCAACTAAAGTATAGTCAAGACGAAGTCCATATTCAACGATAACTGGTCCCAGCTACTTATTAGGGATCAGTTCTCGCATCAAACAGGCGATGAACTCTAACTTACTGCTCTTTTCACTCGAAAAACCACTGCTTCTGACAAAGGATGCTTGCACCAGCTCAGAGTAGGACTTATGCAGCTAGCAATTTGTATAGCTGCATCGGATGAGTACAGTAAACAAGCCACCCACTCACTTGGAAATGCAAATGCAGTCTCGTGCTGTGTGCTTTGAGCCATTGGCTAGAAGGTACAAATTCAGGTCAAAACATTAAAAAATGTTTTTTAATCAAAAAAAAAGCTGAAAAGAAGAAAAGTACCTTCAGAAGGGCATGTGCTTTGGAAAGATGCTGGTTCTGTTCATACAAAGCAGGAACGGAAAATTCACTGAGTTGGCTAGCTGCCAACTCTTGTAAGGCTTGAATCCATTCACAGCTTTCTAGTGAGAGTCTCTGAGAGTAGATATAGTAAATAAAAAATAAAAAATAACGTAACAGCCATTCAAGTCGACGGTAAGCAAGCTACTCACATTGATGTTTATTGCTTTGAGATTTGGCAGTGCAGCACTCTTCCAATGTCCATTTCGGAAAGCTACCCGCGCTATCACATAGCGATCGAAGTCCGTTCCCTTTGCCAGTGTATCTGTATCTCTTGGTAGCTGTATCGAAGGTGCCAAAAGTAGATAAGCCAAAGGTGGGTACAGAAGATGGCTCTGAAAGCAACTTCAAACACATCCATACTTCGAAAAATCCCAATCTTCATACCTCCTTCGACATCAGGTCTTTCGCCCAATTATGCAGTTTCTCCACAACGAAAGGCAAGCGATTGACGAGATGACAGCAAAGTTCAATCAGTTGGGTTATATTAGCATGGGTGACGGGCTTACACAGGATACTGTCCAACACAGCAAGCACTCGCTCAGGCTCGACTTCACTGCAGCATAAGAACCTTCCAAGAGTGCGATAGAACTAAAAAGGACATACTACAGTAAGTCTGGCGAATCATGCAGATTTACCCACCACTTTGGCTAATTTAGCTGGCAGCTCATAGTTGGTGGTACTTACAAATGGCCCACTTAGTGATTGCCACTTTCTTTCATTAGGCACTCGCATGAGCATGTTGCAGCTAATCCGTAGATAACGGACTCGCATCGGTAGGCACTCACTCTGCCCCAGGTTACCAATCTCGCTGAGGGTTTCTGAAATTAGTATTGCAGATTGAAAACTTTACATGTCAAAGGTAATTCAGACAGCATTCAGTAAAGTCGTCTACAGGAATTTGAAGTCATCTACAGTACTTGAAGCAGACCTGTAGTTACCTCCAAATAAATATTCTATAATTTTTCTACAGTGTCGTCCTTCTCCTTCACTTAACAAAATGTCTGATTCATTTTCCTCTGTTAATTTCAAAAAACTTTTGCCAGATTTCAAAATTTTGCAACCTCTAACTGATTTTGTTTGGTATTTGTTATGACTGCGTATTGAACTGAGATACATCTACAAAAAAAGCAGAAAACAGAAACAGAAAGAGTCCTACTCGAAATGATACATGCATCCGGAAAAAGAATCCAAAAAAGTTGGGAGCTAATCGAACAGCTTCCTACCTTTGTGTGCTTTTTCAAAGATACATTACGCTTACATACCATATCTGGTCAATACTATATACTATACTACGCAAACTAAGCATGAGGTGTGAGTAGTATGTAAAAGAATCAATTTGAAAAATTAATTATTTCACAATTCAATTATCCATTTGAAAAACCAACCATCTAGTCCGGTAATCAAACCCGGACGTGCTTTCTTCGTCAACTCAACCAGGATATCAAGGTATCGAATATAAGAGCTTTCTGTAGATGAAACTCTCGTCTTCAACTGATGAAGTTTCTACAAGAAATAAATTTCCTCTCCTATTTATTCGAAAGACACATTTCTCACCTTTAAATGATCTTCTTTCCAAACATGCGAATGCTTAGCCAATCTGGCAATATTATGCAATGTGGACAGACATACTGACAGTATATCACCATGACAGCCGGTTACAACTTCCATCAGAATGTCCAGCTGTCAGTGAACAAGTACATTCTCTGACAATTTTTCAGGCAATTGATGACCGGTAGCTTACCTGCTGTGGTATAGCATAACGAGTGTTCTCGGCTAGAGTTGTGGTAGCGCAGAGAAGTGTGCAGATCAACTCGTTGAATGTTGAGGTTTCCAGAAGGCGAGTTGTAAGTGATATCACTTCCTTAAACATACAAAAGTCAGTCACATAGCAAGCCAAGTGAGAAACAGAGAGAAGACGAGTACGAAATATAACCAAGTATGGAAAGATGTGAAAAAGTGAAATATTAAAAGCCGAAAAACAAACAAACAAATAACCTTTATAGTGTCCACGGTCGCTTTCATATCGGCAAAAACTTGTACAAGCTCAACTTTACGATCACTACTGGTCTCTTCAGCCAGCAGCAGCTCTGATAATTGCCCAATGATAGTCGCCGAAAATTCGCTGAAATCGAATTTCAGATTGTGCATGTTTCTTGATAGACTACTCACGAAGAAAGATGGGTGAATGCCGCCATAGCATGACATGCAGCTTGGAATTCATCTGCATTCTCAGCTGACATAGATTCGACGATGAGATGATGTGCTTGTTTGTTCTCCGGAGCAATTGGAGCTAAACTTGCAAGCACCTGAACGAAAAAAATGTATGACCTACCAGGAAGAGCACAAGATAAGGTAAGCATCTACCTGAAGAGTCATAGCACGCGCCACTGGATCGTTCGAGTGCGAAACAGATAGAACTCTTTTGAAAATTTCACTTCCGGAGAAAACTAGCGACAAATGTGTTCCACATTCTAACAAAGCTCGCGCAATAGCCAGCCGTAACATATTAGTTCTAGAAGAACACGCCTGATGTTCTCAGATACACATGAAGCACTCTAAGGAACATACCCATCCTTGAAAGCATCTGCAAGTCTGACAACGATTGTGTTAACGTACATAGGAAAGGGATTTGCTCGAACAACGCTTGCGGTTGATACAACTGTAGACAGCTGCTCACCAAGCGATGGCGAGCGTAAGCCTAAAATTTACTAACATTAAACGAGATAACAAAAGAAAGTTTTCCCTGATACCTTTTTCAAAAGACTGCAGCTGTATTGAGGATACTGATGCTGGCTGAGCCAGCTCAGTCGCCATTTCAAAACCTCTAAAAGTTTGGAAGAATCGTATCCTGAGGGATAGCAATTTCGAATGTGTGAAAAGCAAACGGCGCTCCACCGCCTCAAATATTTCTCCAATAAAGTAAAAGCTTCGCTTTATTTCAATGATCAAGAAAACAAAAAAAGGAACGGAAGAAATTAGCCAAAGATATCACATAACATAACAGACCTCGTCGGACGGATTGAGCATAAAGAGCTAGACAAAGAAAAGTGAAAAGATTAGCAGACAAGACAGCAATAAGCATATAGACATTATAACCTCTTTAGCGCGCAAAAACAAATTTCCACAGAAATTAAGAAAGAACTTCATAGACCTGTCAGATAATGCAATTTGAATTTTCACTCAAAGCAAAACCTCAACGAGAATCTCTAAAATGCCGGAAAGTATGTCGATATAGATGGATCCGCTTCCACCTTCGGAATCTTGATGCACAAGTTCCGACCATCTGCAAATGTTCAGTAAACAGCCGTGCAGGGTAGCTTCTGAAAAGTAACACAAAAATCAACTTACCGTCGTATCACTTCAGGACCATGTTCGAAATTTCCATCTGGAACCACCATGATTAAAAGATGATAAACTGATTCGTTTTTCGAAGGATGGCCATATATCTGAATTAGTAAGAATGTGACATGAGAAAAGAGCAGCGTTGAAACTACAGTAGACTAACTCCCAAGTATGAGGGACGAGGACTGGAATTGATATCAATATAATCTATCCCACAGGTAGCCGAGGATGCGTCGTGGCGATCCAGTTCGTAAGACACCCCTTGGTCCGAATAGGAAAAGTATAAATCAGCATCGCCTAGACAAGATCTTGTAAATAAAAACCCGTCATGTTCATAGGCGAATTATCGCACGCGCGACAAGACGCAATTGCGGAGTTGTCGGCGTCTTTCTGGTCGAGTGACCCTCCCTTTTACTCCGTCATCTCTCTATGACGCATGCTGTCATCCTCGGATAAACGTATTAACATGCAATGATTCGCCTACACTAAAAAATCCAAAGGGAGGAAAAATACAATAAGCTAGTAAGAGCCATTGTTTGTAACACAGGTATGACCACTAACTCAGAAATCGCTGACTCGCGACGAGGAAATGCACGAAAAATGGGGACGCACCGCTCATATAAATAACATCGTACCTTGTACACTATCCAGTACTATTCGCATAGGTTTCGGAGACTTCAATTCGAATCGAGAAAAATTTCCAGCCACAACGACTCCTTCACGTGTGAAAAAATGCGGAGTTAAATCCTCTTCCTCATTTTTCGAAGATTTCTTTTCATTGTTGCCCGTTACATAATGCGCGATTATCAGGAGCAGAATCCATCTCATAGGCATTGCGTCATTACTAAGAAAACACATCTATAGTCCAGGCATCGTTTTTGAGGAACTGATGTATATTTCATCTTGTAAGGTAGATTCTGGCCTAACCAGAGATTTTTTTAACGGATGCACGACTTGGTTAATACCAGATTTTATTGTCAAACAAACTTCTCATCTTACAGTAGTGGACGAGATGTGGATATATCTTCAATAAATACATCAATTATTAAAATGCAAATGCGCTATCAATGACTGGTGATGGAAAGACATACACAACCATGACAGTCACTGCTAAGATCTTTGATAATGAAACCAGGATTTGTAAAGCATATGAGGTTTTAACACTGGAATATTGATCATGCAAGGGTAGAGGTAACAAATACTGTAATGCACTCAATGATTTAAACCTGGGGAGGGGGAAACAAAATTAGTTATATACATGTAATGGTTGATGATTAAACCATTTCAAACAAATATAGGGTTTTAAAACAGATCTTTCTAAGCTCAAAGCAACTCGTAGATTAATTTACAGGATTAAGTGGAACAATAACATTTGAGGTAAGTATGACAACGCATTACTAAAAAGTGCTTCAAACACTCTATTCACGGACTTTAGGCATCTCAAAGACTTGTACATGCTCTCGTTCGCCAAGTTCTTTGATACCTTGCGGTGTGAAGAAGATGAACTGATTGTGTGAGTATTGCTCTGTGGCTAACTTGACCAGTAGATCCATAATGACCTAAATGCTCGCATACAGTTTTTCTTGATCAAGTTGTGAGTCATACTCACTCTTCTATTTATCATGTCCATAAACACATCAAATTCATCCATGCAACGAAATGGGGCCTCCATTATCTCCCAGAGAGCCATGATGAAGCAGGCTGTTGTGAATGAGCGTTCGCCACCGGACAGACCTAAACAGTGTTCTTCAAACACGTTCGATAACCACAGCATCAACGTCAAGCATTAATAATTTTGATTTCTTTTTTAACTTCTGTGTGTGCCAGCAGTCATTTTTTTTGGAGTCTCTGCTTAGCCCATTGATTATGGTGAACGAAGTAACAAAGAAAAGTTACAAACGCATTCAATAAGTAAAGAACGCTTCAGCAGAAAGTGGTAGCACGATGGTATTTCCGATAAACTTTACTTCCTCGATAATACAAACGCAATAAACATTTTGAAATAAAATGGAGCAATAAAGTGAAGAAATAAAAATTTGGAGAATAATAAAAAATTAAATTAAAATAAAAATTTACCTCTCAGATCCTGAACGACACTTTTTGCGGCAATTTGCGAGTTTTCGTCCTTCTGATGTGTAGCAACCGTTATATTAATCGCTCCTTTCTGGCGATCGACGACGAGATTACCATGATAAGACCTAAAAGGGAAGTTCGACATTTCTACGATTCGAGAAAAAGCATTACCTCGTTGCCATAAGCCTTTGAAATGTCATCTTCAATCGCATTGTTATTGCATGGCACATGATGGGAAACTTTTCGTTTCGTATTCGGATGCACTCCGAAAGTTTCTACAACACGAAACATTATAAGTAAGATTAAGAAAAATTCTCTACACTCATACCTTGTTCAGTCCTTTTAGTACCAGATAGTGCTTTTTCATCCGTTCATAGTTCTCTTTGAACTCCTGCACCTCCTCAGCCGTTACGGCATTGCCCATCCTGCAACTCGACAAGAATTTACAAGAAATAAAACTCCAGAAATTTATATTGCTTACACTTTTTCAGCGGATTCGATCTTCATCGTTAGCGTTTTATACTGTTCGTCGAGTTCGACAGTATCACCTAGCTGATCCATGTCTGGCGGATTAGTCATTGACTGTGGCGTGGGAAGCTCTTCACTACGTTTAGCCTGCAGAAAACCATTTACGTATCAGCCACTGTCTGCGCAAGATTCGATTTTTAGAAAAGCGAAATGAAGAATAGCGATAAACCCGAACTGACCCTCTCCTCTGCACTCGTCTTCTCATCTTCCAACTCTCTACGAGATGTCTCCATGCTCTTCAAAGACTGAAAACAAATCCGCTAGGAAAAACAGTACGTTAGGGCTAGCAGTAACCGAAAAGAATTTAGACTTACATCTTCAATCCGTTGCAGTCTTCTCTTATCAGAATCTATTGCTGCATCTATGCTTCTTGCTTTATCCAGAATATCTTCTTCTTCATTCTAGAATGGCAATGGCAGCTATAGCAAGTCACCAAGTAACTCGATAGCGTAAACAAACCTCCAACTCTTCAATCTTCCTTTTAATTTCAGCAAAATCGGCTTTCAAAGCTTGCAGTCCCTCATTTATGTTTTGAATTTCGTTTTCCTTCTGCGAACTGCTCTAGAAAAATACACAAAGATTTTGAAAAAAAAAGGCAAAAATTTAAAGTAACAAACTTCTTCAAGTCTCGCGAATTCCTCCTCTAGCTCAGCCAACTGATTATTGAGTTCGTCTAGGCTTTTTCGCTGAAAGATGACTTTTGCAAAAAAATCACACATCATAAGATTTTTCACGCAGAATCTCATTCTTTGAGTGTTTGTTCTATGATAACTGTTGGAATCTGCTTGAATAGTGACAGTTACAAACTCAAAAAGAAAGGGCTGAAATGATAGCTAACCATGTTGTCTACAACCGACATGTCGTCATCCATTTCAAGCTCTTCAAGCCTTCGTTCCAGCGATCGGTACTGACTCCGAAGACGATTGAGGTCTGTCTCGATTGTACCATAGTGCTGCATTGCTTTGCCAACTTCTCTTTGTGCCTCTGCGGCTGCTGTTGCGGCCTATGAACATGACCAACATCAAAAGCCTTACAGTCATCTCTAAAAAAATATTACCTCTCGAATTTGTTCTTGGATTTCTTCCGCTTTCAAATGAAGATTACTCAATTCGGATTTCATCGCACTGGAATTCGATTATTGAAAACTTCACCGGATGTGTAAATTTTGTTACCCGATGTCAGCCTCAGCGTCTTGTCCCGTCAATATTGTAGGCCTTGGCGGTGTTCGACAAGCATAGAAACGGTAAAAGCCTTCACCACGTCGGTTTCTTCCCATGGCCATACCACCTGTAGGCGTATACGCCCGCACGCACTTGTCAGGGCACTAAACTTGCGCGATAAACAGAATGGACGATATATTAAGAAAAATAAGAATTTAAAAAGTGAACGACCAAAAGCCTACGTTGCCATCCATAATTCTTCTAGCATCCTGATCGGAATGCAGGAGCACCGTAGCTTCTATTGAGGCCATATCAATCAGTACGTTCCTGAAATGATCAAATTCAAAGCAAATTGGTGCGCTGTTCATTTTTATCGTAGCTATGATAACAGTACCTCACAACGTTATCGCTAATTTCAACAACTCTGAGGATGGTGTCCCAATCTGATGACGGCTCATTCTTTCTCACATCATGCGGAGGCGTTGTGAACCTCAAGAAGATTTTCGCATCAAAGACATGCGCGGCACTTCAAAGCACCCACTTGCTAAAAATAGCATTTGGCATGGCTCCCTGTATTCGGTTTGCTCTCATTAGCCTCTCGAAAGTTTGATGATCACGTTTAGAGTGAAACACAAAAGATGTCAACAACCGGCGTGTCGCTTCTTCAACCGCAAACGTCCACTTTCGATCACGCAACTTCATATACATTCCTGCAGATACAAAATACTAAATGGTACAGAGGTACTCAGATCGAAAGAGCATACAGGATCATACAGCTAAACAAAAAACACATGGGAGATACGAGAGAAAATGTTACCTATAGGTCCTCTTGGTAGATGCTCAAACTTGTGGGAGTTTGCATTCATAACCTCCAATATGCTGGGTACATTTTCACCAAATCTGGAAAAGAATTAAACGGTCTTTGTTCACCACAATTGACATTTTGAAATATCAATGTTTGGAAAACCTCATCACAGCATTTTTGGTCGTGATTTCAGCCCGATGCAACTCCTCTTGTAGGTCACGCATTCTACTCCCTACCTTGCGAGACTCCCTTACGACCTGGAAACACAATCGCAATTAGAAACAAAAGTAGATTTCAATTATTGAGCATTAGTTGCACTGTATGATGATATTCTTACAAAAATTAACTGAGCCGATAAGATCAAAATCGTGAAATCAAAAGCATAAGAGCTCTTTACAAAACGACTGAAGGCCAAAACTAGAGGAAAGCTATGCTATGAGATAAAAATACCTGATTTTGATTGCCCACTGCTTGCTCATGTGCCCTTTGACATTTTTCGCGCTCTTCCTGAGCGGAACGAAGACGATCAACCAGCTCTGCTTCCTTGAATAAAAATTAGCCAAGGAGGGCAAACGGTTGAGACAGACAGGGAATAATTATGAATTGGGACATATATGACAAACCTTTTGCGTGACTTTCCCCATTTTGACCTTTGTAGAAGCGATTTCTTCTTTCCGCTTCTCACATTGCGATTCTTCTTCAAATGTCTTGATCTGTTCAATAATGCGCAACTTTCGCTGCTCAATAGAACTGAAATTAGTCGCCTGAGTCATAAACTCTGTTAGAAAGAATACAGAAAATTCAAAATCGCCTTACCCCTTAGTTCTTTCCATACCATGACGTTTCGAATCTTGATTCGAAATTTCATACCGAAGATTTCTAAACAAGAAACAATGGCTATGGTGGCTAAGGGTGGAGAACTGACCTGATACTTTCCTCGCCAATTTTCATCTTCCCTTTCAATTCTTGCAGGCTTTTAGTCTCATCATTGACCTTCTGGCGCATTGTGGAAGCTTCAGCGATGCATTCCTGCATGAAGATCGGGATACTGGGAAAGCACATGAAGTTCACTTACGTCTTTCTTAGCCACAGTCTCTTCAATCCTTTTCTGTATATGTCCAGATTCTTCCATGAACTTTTCACGCTTTTTCTCCAAAACTTGCAATTTCTGCAGAAGATAAATTATTCCTCCATAGATTCCGAGATGAGAAAGGCGAAATAGAAAAAGGCAAGTTACCTCAAGTACATCACGCAGCGGACACCACAACAGCATCCATCCGATTTCACTTTGTTGATTCCGCATATCCTGGATGCCTCGGACACGACGTCTTTCTTCCACCATAGCTTGATATTTTCTACAAAGATGCACAATTCCAAAGATATTAGAAAAAATCTGAGTCTAGGCCTAGAAATAACGAGGTTCCTAAAAATCATGCAGAACCTCACTTCTTTTGCTTCTCAAATTCACCCTTCATCGAACGACACATGGAGTCAATAGAGGATACAATGGCTTCACATTGCTCATAGCATGCTTTTGTATGCTCCAACTCCGTTGCACACATAAATATCTGCAAGAAATATCCAGTGTCAACTATTTATATCCAGAAAAAATTACCTGATATAATCTATCCGGCTTCATTTGATGCAAAAAATGTCTAGATCTATCCTGGCTCATCCAAAATATTGGATTACTAAGCTGGATACCGTAACGAACCAGTAACTGATCGAGATCACTCTTCTTTTTCGAGATAAGCACTTCTGAAATATAAGCTCACAAAATAATGGAAAACAGAAAATCAAGAGAGCATCAGCTCACCTCGTCTATTCCTACCGAAGCCACTTATACTTTTTAGTGAGTAGGTGGATGCGGATGGAGTGATTACTCTTTCTACGACCACGAAGTCACCATAGTCGGGATGGCTTCCAAGACCACTATTAGTCAGAACCAGCCGAATTCTTGCCTTGCTGGAACATAGTTGACATCAGCACCTCAGAAAATTTCAGAAAACGAGACACAATAATTGGTGAACAAGAAGGATTATTTTTTAATCTAAACTGAACAGATTTTGTAAGATGTTTAGATCTTGCAAAAAGAGGTTAAAACAATCCCGTGAAGACAATAGCAAGATCTTACTTCCTGCCTTCCTTGATGTAGCTTTTGACTGAATTTCCTCGGTCGTTATTGTTACCTCTACCACCGAGTCCGATATTCAAGGAAGCAAACAGAGCGCTCTTACCACCTAAATCGGTATTTTCGTCTTGGCGGTTATTGCCATAATCAGTTCAGACCCACTTCCGTTTGGACCACCGATGTAGAAGCAGTTGTTTTCAGATGTCTCGAAGTCCACTTTCAAATGCCCATGACACATGAAATTTTCCAGTTCAACTTCAGCTATTCGACCAGCTACTTCGGTGTAGGCTAAAGGAAATTTATGCTCATCATTGTGACACATTCAGAAAAAGACAAAAGAAAATACGCAATTTTCAACAGAAAGCATACCTCTTGATGGTTCGAAGTCCCCTGCAGCTTGGTTCAAGCTGACTTTTCTGACCTTGACGGCACCGTTTAGCTCTCCATTTTTGTGCCGCTTTCTAACAAGACATCGATCGTGCTGATTCTCTATATCTGCATCCACTTCCATTGCATCCTCCATGGCTAAAGCCTGTAAATTCTTGCACGTCATCAATAGAAGGAAAAGTGAAGAAAAAACACTACAAAAGACTCCGAAAAAGTTCTACATTTGAAACAAAACACGATTAGCTTTCTCCTACCGAAGAATCACTGAGAAATCAAAAACAGGGAAGAAGGGACATTGGCGAATTCAAACTTCAAAAGAAAGGGTTTTCAAACTGGTGTAAAATCGCGCGCCGGTGCGGTGCGCTCAGAATCCGCGTCTGGTTTCGCGTTTGAGGTAGTTTCCAAAAATTTGATTCTCTCAATTTGAAATCTTCTTTTTTGCTAAACTGTTAAAAAAGGAGCTTGTAAAGAAAATAGCCGCAAAAACACTCTAAGGCGCTGAAGAGTTTGAAGCAAAATATGAATACGTTTCTCATACTGACGACAACATTAAGAAATCAGAATAGGGGGAGGGGCAATAACGCGATTCTTCAAGGCTTCTCAAGAAAAACGGCGCAACTTTTGAAAGTGGCGTAAAATCGCGCGCTGCGTGCTCTCAGAATCCACGTCTGATTTCGCGTCTAAGCTCAATTTTAAAGATTTTTGTATCCTTTTCATTCTGAGCACTTCTCTTATTTGCCGAACTTAAAAAAAAGAGGGCTTTACATGGGAAATTAAGGAAAGCTTTCAGAAACATGATCAATACCTTGCTAAGGAACGCATCACCTAAAAACGCGTAACCATCCAGCGTTTTCGATTAGGGAGGTTATATCTGAAAATCGGTTGTTCTTACGCTTTTTGAACACAGAGCGCCTAACTAACAAGGAGACGATACTTGGTGTCCGTGGCCTTTTGAGATGAGATGTATAACATTACACTCATCTTGGAGCGCTGATTCCGAATCTGTCTTCCGTTTCTGCTAGTCGTTCCTCTAAAAGAAGTTATGAAGGATTTTTGCGCCAAAGAGACGTGGTCGGAATGCCAAAACCGCCGCTAAGATGTGGTGTAGTGGATAGTGCGATAGCCTCGCAAGTTAATGTAGGTTTAGGTACGAGTTTTGTGTTTTTCAGTTTTGCACTGCCTCAATCAAGCCTCTCTTTGAAAGTTAGGCATCATCGGCCGCATTTTTCTTAGCCATTGACGCGAAAATCCTTATAGCTTCTTTCAGAGAAATGATGCAGAAAAGGAAGTCAGATTCGGAATCAGCGTTCCGAAACGAGTGTGATGGTATACGTTTCATCTCAAAAGGCCACGGACACTAACTATCGTTCCCTTGTAAGACAACATCTTGTACCCATATATCAACGTTGTGCCCAATAGAATTGGCGTTGATATTGCACCCCTGCGGTGCCAACAGTTGCGCTTGAAAAATTAGATCTTCCAGTGCTGATATTTTTCTGAAACTGAGCTCACAATTTTGCGCCCCGTGTGCGTTCCCTAAAAATAATAGAGCAGCGCAAAGGCACTATACTAGCTGTTGACTTACTAGCTTGGGAGGCATAACAGTATTTTGGAGGAGACCTCATGATTTTGAGATTTCAAACAGCAGAATTTTCAGATGCTCGCAATGTTTCGCTCCATAGCAACGTATCTTATAATCAGTATGATTTCTGGTGCATGGGCTTCTCTTGAACCAGTTGGCACATTTGCTTCTACTTTAAATAGTAGGTGAGACGAACAAAGTCACTTTGACTAGGCATACAGACGAGTCATTGACCTGACGATGCGGTGTTGCACTGCAGCCGCGGCGCGGTCGTTGAGCCAAGAAAGCAACATTGAGCCACTAACTCTAGGTTGGCGCTTCATGACCGTGCATCCTGCGGCCGCAAGCCCCACTCGCGGACGTTCAGCCTACAGTGATATGGGCGATTTTGCGCAGTCGACTTTAGCTGAACTGTTTTCGCATTGGCAGCCGCTATTACTGCCTGCGTTACTCCTTCGTATGAGTATAGTCTGTTCCAATCGTAGCGTCCCTTTCCTAGCACAACCGCCTGGCAGAGGCCTCATGCCACAATTACCAACTCATACTAATTCTCATAAAACCTTGGTTTCTTGCCATTGTAAGTCAAAGTCTTCCTACATTATAAGTATATTTGAGGTATCATTCGATAAGGCAAACAATTTCTTTATGGCTCTTAGACATACAGTTTGATTTTTCCACATTAATTTTGAAGCTAAACATAAATTCTGAGAACTCGGAAATCTGAAAACGTCGACTTCCGTTTAAAAACTCTGGATCTCTCACTTGTTCAAGCGTATATGCTCCTAAATAGACATTTATTAATACACATATTGTATATTGTGGATGGCTGGAAATCAAGAGAAGAATTATGCGCTAATTTTACAAAGTTTGCCTCTAACCTTTTGTTTCTCGCAGCGATTACAAGTTTATTCACTCAGAAATACAGCCGTAAAGTTTGCATCTTTGTATCTCTGTTTTTGAAAAATGTCAATTTCAAAATTCAAATATGAAAAAAGTTGATGTGAACCTAATGACTTGTGCAAAATCTGCCTCGAACGGAGTACGGCACGCAGGGGCCTCGCGGCGGATGCGTTCGCGCGAAAGAGAATTCGCGTTTGACAGAAACTATACAGCCTCAGTTTGGCACCACAGGACTCGCAAAAAAAATTAAGATCACAAATACTGATTTTGGGACGAGGATTCCTAAAAACGACTATTTTCTTTTCTACCACTGCATTTGCATGTCATTTTCTCTTTTTTTTTCATGACCCTTACCCATCACTGTTCAGCTTGACACACAATACTATGGCCTCCGGTGCTGCAGCCGTCTTTTCTCGAATGAGCAATTTACGAATGGTATATGTTACAGCGCCATCGAAAGAAGCTGCTCTGAAAATTGCTAGGTCTACGATTTTGCCCTCATTACTTGATTTTCATGTAGATAATTTCAGAATAGCGGTTGAAAGAAAACTAACCGCTTGCGCTAATATCATTCCTGAGATTACATCCATGTAAGTGCTTTGTAATAGTTTTCAATGATTTGAATGCAGTATTAATAATTTAGATATGAATGGGAAGGTAAAGTGCACGAAGATCCAGAGACCATACTCATAATGAAAACTCAAGAAAGTCTTCTAGAGGAACTCCATAAGGTATGGTTATTAGGTTGGGTTCATTCAAGGCTATGAAGGATTGCGTTTTGAATAGCAGATACGCAAAGAAGGCTTCAGAAGTCTTTGCCTATCAATTTTTTACTAAGCTGATTAACCAGAAGCTTTTGATGTGGCATTTAAATTTTTTCAGGCCCTGATTTTGGGTCCCATGGAATTTATGATATGTTTTTGACTACTCATAAATAAAGAAAACATATGCACACTTTTACTTACGATTCACCTTCAAAAAGTGACCCTGTTTGGAAGGGGGAGGGGGAGGGAGGATTGAGCTAAAATTTAGACTACTTGAACCGTTTCTGTTGAGACGTGGAGGGGTGGGGTTTAATTGCGCGGCTTGTTCTAATTATTGGTGATCATGCTTTCATGGTGCGTGAAGAACAATTATTCTTTTTTTTGCGTTGAAAGCTGAATTTTTTAAGGTCGTTATCGAAAATCATTCTTATGATGTGCCAGCGTTTGTTTCCATTCCCATCGATGGTGCGTCAAAACCTTATGCGGACTGGTTACTAGATCAAACAAAGAAAATTAATACAGAGTTGTGAACATATGCATGGACGAGTTAAATTGTTTTTTTTTTGCAACGGTTATTATATTACCAATCTGATAAACATTTTGTACTTTATCGCTTTCTCACCAGAAGAATTATTCATTAGTTGCTACACATGTGCATACGTAGAGCACTGCAACTCGCTAATCAGGGATTGCAGAGAATGAGTAGAGTACAGACATAGTCCCGCCACGATACTGTCAAAAAGTGCGCGACGTGATGCTCGACTCTGGCGACCGCGCTCATGCGGACTTTGAACCGATTTAAAGGGACGAAATTTTTTTTCTATATGTAGATGTATTTTTGCTCGTAGAAAGACTCCAAATCAGAAAATGGACAACTGGTGCTTCAACACAATTTATACACATAGTCATTATGGCGCAGAAACGACAGGCAGCATCTACTGCCGCGGCAAGACGACATGTGTGTCAACGGAAGAAATTTTGTGTCAGAAAATGTGAAAAAAGTGAATTTAAGACGGCCAATGCTGCGCCGCGGTAATGGACGCACCTCATCCGTTCTCTGCGTCGTTGATTCACCTTGCTAGAATGATCATTCCCGCATGCAATGTAACTATAAAATCAACAACTGCTCAGTAAAAACTAGATCTAAAAGGGCAAAGTTCTTCTTCGTTTACTTTCAGCTGATGGTGGTTTCATATGTGCTGTACAGATCTCATTCGGTAACACAGTTGGCTCAGGATTTCGCTCCGGCCCTTTCGTAGTTTTTGCAAACCATTGTATCATCGGATTTGGGAGAAATTCTGGTTCCTGTGTAGTAGAACCCTAAAATATGAGCATACATAACAGACAGTGGACTTTTTACGCTGTTCATCCTCTCTATAGGCATTGTTCAGGCAAATTTGAGTACCCGGGATTCTTATAAACTGATGACTGAAGAGTCCTATATAAACTTGTCCAAAATGCAGTTCATACAATTCATCTATGACCGAGATATTCAACTTTAACCCAGCACCGTACTCTTTCCGCGCGGGCCAATCAGCGCCCTCGATTACGGTAGTTTTGGGCTTCAGTTTCATGGCTGCTTGGGCAACTTCATAATGAAAGTCCCCCTCAAATAAGCGCACAAGAAGTCCGAGTACCCAGATTTGCCTGGGCCCAGCCAATGTAGCACGCAATCTCTGAAAATTTTTAACGGGAATTTTGGAATTTGTATTTACGTCTTTGTCATAGTAGTTATTCACTGCTGACGAAATCCGAGGTCTGGCAAGAGAAGCGGCTGGAATTTGCTCCAGCTCTCGTAGAGTCCTCATCAACTCGGGATCGGTGAGAGTTTTCGTCAGAAGTTGCAGTAACGTTTGTCCGGTGGCTAGAACGAAAGCTGGACGTTTTCGAAATGTTGTACAGTTGCAATTTACATTTTATCCGCTCCGGAGATGGGCTTGGTATTTCAGATTTTGGAAAATCTTGTTCTTGTGGAAGTATGGGCGAAATTGGTGGAGCTCCTTTTGTGAGCTCAAAAGATTTTGGAATATTTTCTTTTCGTGAAAATATAGGCGTCGAAATTGGTGGAGCGCTTCTTATAAACTGAAAGAAGTTTGATGAATTTTGATGTAGAGTATCTCACAGGTACCTTTGCATCCCAGCGATTTTTGGAACGTCTTCTTACCAAACCGCTGGGCTTCAATGTTTTTTGCGGCATACCGGTTGTAGTAGTCTCTATGCTTGTTTGGTTAGTAGTTATGTCTAAACGGAGGTGGCAGGGTTCACACTAGCATTGCCTTCGTAGTAAAGGTTGAGGCCTACCGTATCCTGGATGCGCTGCTTTACCAGAAATGAGTGGGGATTGTTCGAACCATGGATCAAACCTGAATCTATGCTTCACTTCTTTTCACTCACTTGTAAAAGCAGATTTTATAGCGTTCCGAACTCTTGGAGTATTTCGAACTCTGCTTTGAGCCTATTCTTAGTCCATTTTCCCGATTTTTTTTTTCACATACCTTTTCGTCACAGCTGGGCTGACCTTCAAAATGCGATCCAAAAACATGGAAATGTCCCGCAAAGGTGAGAGTCCCGGCCTTAACACATTCTGAATGATTGCAAATCAAGTACACAATATAACAAATCCCAGAGAAGTTCGTAGCTCACAAAAATAACGGATGAAATTCCTACCCGGGGCTATCCTTCATTTTTCGCATTCTCGTGCTCCACGAGTTCATTATATTGTCGATTTTCTCCTCTTCATCTCCTGTCAATAGCCGTACCAAGTTGCTGTTCATGTATACCTTACCTTCCTAAATTTTTTGAGTTATACAATGTTGTAACCTTTGCTTAGTTAAACATACCCGAACTATGCAACCATCCAAAACCAGTTCCGCGGCGTCTGTAAGTTGGCCGCAAAAAGCCGGCATTTTTGGCGGCTCCAAGATACGAAATTTCTTTTTTAGTCTAAAATATTTTTTTTCAAACAGAAGAGTATAAAACATAATGGCAACTCACTCCAAGTAAATGCTAAGATCTCTTTGATAGAGTCGAAACGCTTCCTGCTCACTCGCACTCAAATCACGTTGGGGTTCTCCATGAATGTAAAGCTGTCCATCCTGAGAAAATATAAAATATGTCGCAGGACAAATCCGCCAATTTCTCGTGAAAAGTTTCTAAAACACTCCAGGTTGCCATTTTTTCCTTTTTACCACAGTATTTTCTCAACAATTTAGCACAAATCTTGAAGTACTGGGTTGTTTATTCTGCCTTCTTCTTGTACCTGTCTTTTTGCTACCACGTAAAGCTCTTTTTCTAGCTTTTCAAGTATGCTCTCGTTTTCGTAAAGCTTTAACAAGTGCTACTTGGAAGAGCAGCAAAGCGGTGTGGAGTTTTTCCTTTTCGCTCTACTTTCATGAGAGTCATCGACAAGGGTGGAATTTACTGTAGACAAAACTTTTGTTTGGTGTTTCGGCCTTTGAGCCGCAAACTGTCTGTCGAGATATATAAAATACGTACAAAAAATTAATTTTCACTTACAATTTATGCCTAAGCCGTAGTTCTTACGGTTCACATAAAAATCATAAGCTCATTGCACACTGGGTCTACGGCACGTAAACTTCGAAAAACGAAACAAAGTTCAGGAAGAAAAATGTTTTGAGGTATTGCAGCCAGAAAATCTTCGTTGTTGCTCATATAGATTTTGGCTACATAAAGCAAAGCCATGATTTTGTTGACAAAAAACTTTTCATTAGGCCGATCATTCCTGAATAGAGTGATGTTTGGAAGTTAGAACTTTAGGAGATGGGGTTTTTATAGAACAATCAATACATGAGCATTTGTTATTAGGTCATACGTCCTATCGTCTTGAAACCTGGGCATGTTGCGGTGACTGATTTCAATTTTTGTTCTGCCTTCTTTTGTTCTTTTGTTGTGATCAAATAAAATGTTTAGCGTGCTCTGCCATATACAGGGTGTCCCAAAAGTAAGTACACACTTTTCAATCGTCAATATCTCTCTTCCCAATGGGTCTTTATTTGCCAGTCAAGTACCATTCTGTAGAGGAGGCTTCAACTTAGATTTACAGTATTGATCGAATCGTCGATCTCTTTTTGTTACTGTAGGACTACGGTAAGAACTTCCAGCATGTGGAACCATCGTGAAATATGCCATCTGACAAAATTTTTTCTCAAAATAATTTGAAAAATCGTGTACTAGGGATTCCGCGCACGCTGATTCCACTACACAACTTTTTACGAGTGTTTTCAGCTTTTTTGACGGTGTAATTACATTTCTGACAAATACTAGGAATTCGGTTGTTACGATTTATCTGGGATAACTTTGGAAAGAAGCAATACAGTGAAGTGAAAACTTCATACTCGAAATTAGCGGCTTCCATTACCATAGTGCAAGAGTTTTTGGCTTGTTTGGTTTTGTTCCGAGGCGGAATATGGCTTTCAATGACCCAAAATCTTTGTCGAAGTTCCTACAGCAATCCTACAGTAAAGAAAAGCGATCGATATTTCGCTCGACACTATAAATCTAAGTTAAAGCCTCCTCTACAGAAATGTACTTAAGCAGCGGAAAAAGACCCAATGGAAAGAGAGATATTAACGATTGAAAAGTGTGTACTTACTTTTGGGTCACCCTGTACATCGGTGAAACAAGAAGACTATTGTGCGTGCGCGTAAACGAGCATTTGGCTAGCAAAAATCGGCATTCCGTGATGAGTCCGCTAGGAGAGCATAGAAAGATAGATCATAGCGATACCGAATTCGACACTGAATAATCTTGGCCTACGAAAAATCTCCGCCTAAAGAGGCCCTCGAGGCATCCTACATTCTTGTCCGTGACCCCAAGATCAACAACAAGAATGAACAGTTATTAGGGTGAACGGTAAAAAATGGGACACCTTAAGAATAATTGCAGATTTCTCAAGGAAAAAAAGTGACTGAACTTTCCAATTTTGATGGATATTAGAATAAATTATTCTCTTTCAGATAGCACCTATATAAGGTCATTTAAATAATGGGTAATTTTTATACTTGCTAAAATGCAAAGTTAGTTACTTTGACAAATTATGAAGTTTGAGCAGTATCGGCGCAGTAAAACATGTGAGACCACCCAAAGTACCACTGCTGGAGTGGGTGGTGGGACAGTCACCAAACCCATGACGGCTTGGTGGCTTTAACCCTTAATGTCAGGAGATATGCCCATTAACAGCTTCGAGAACAAAGATACGCGTTATTCAATTCTTTGCAGGTAAACGCATGATTTCTAGGTACCATCTGATAGAGCTTTTTACGCTCTATCCATCCATATGCAGCTTACCTCAGATTTCATCTATCTTCGGAAAATATAGGGCAAAACATGATTTTTTGGTTTTTTGTTGCGCCAAAAATAGCTATTTTTCAGGTTTTTTCGATTTTTTCTTCTGAAATTGAAAAGAAATCTCACGCATTTAACATATCGTTCGAAAGAGCATGAAGAGCTCTTTCGAATGGTGTGTCATTTGCTTTACGACTTTATGGTATAACAGCGCAAGATTGAGGATTGCTCAAAAAACCCTGTTCGAGTTCTTCACGGCGCCACGTGTAGGGTAGTGGAAGAGGAGCGTTAACGCGTTGTCAGAATAATAAGCGAAGGTCGCCCATGTAAGCGACGTTTGAGTTGCCGCTTACTTGCTGTTGCCCGAAACAAAAAATTCCAAAATGTAATGAAAATCAAGCTGTCCCATTTTTTACTGTTCACCCTAATATCTACAACCGAAGATCTAAGGCCCCGGGCAGACTTCACGCGATTTGATCGTCGCGACTGAGTCGCGACGAGACAACTGTTACAACATCATTCCATGCCGATCAACTTGCATTCGGTTGTGATACTTTTCCAGACCGAAATTTTTGAATGTGAAATGAAAATGAATGGAAATTTTGGCGATTAGATCGCGACGATTAAGTCGCGTGAAGTCTGGCCGGGGCCTAATGCCGCATTTGACATATTGCAAACTATTAGGCTGCTGTAAGTTCTGTCCGATTTGAATATTTTGAGTTCAAAATAACATAACGTCTTTCTTAACTTTTCAAGATCTTAGTTTTTATGTGTTGAGCAAGCAATTCATTGGCTATCAGATACATATTGAGACTTGCGAAAATTTTTGTTAAAGAAGGAGCAAGAACTAAAAAACTTCACAACGTTTTTCTTAAAACCTGTCTTTTTTGACATGGCAATGCTCCTTCAAGAAGATTGATAGGCATCATCTAACAATGTATAGATAGTGGAATTTTCGCAGATTGTTTTGTAACGCAAAAGACCCCATAGGGGCTGTTGCCGAGAGATTTTTTCGACCGAGCAAAAAAAAAAGTCACTTTTTGGCCTTGCTTCAGCACAAGTGTGCATGCCTATTTACGAATTATGAAAATTTTGAAGCTGATGTGAGCGCCAAAAAGGAATTGAAGGATGATCTCTGCTAGCTCTTGCTTTACTATACCTCCAACTTTTGAAGTCGTCGATTACTTCTATTCGCAAAAAGTTATTGCTAGTAAAACATCTATACAGAAAATCAATGCTTGACAATAAATTTTATTAGCAAGACCCTTTTTCATGGAATTGAGCTTTTGCATATACTAACCTTCTATACCCTTATTCCGCAGTTAATGAAAAAACATGACTTGAAGAGTGCATTATGGAGATTTCCTTGCAAGAACATATTTCTAGGGCGAGAGCGTACCTCAGCCACTTGAAGATTTCAGGCCTTAAAATTTCCTTACGCTAAGAAGTCTATGGAAATTTGGTTTGCGTTAGAAAGAGCAAGAAAAGCACTTTCTAATGATACTAACAGTACCGCAGTAGAGATGAAATTCTTTTAGAACAACTGCTTCAAACATAAGGCAAAAACATCGTACAGAACTTATGCAGCAGCCTAATATAATATCATAAGCTCTATTTAAGCAGTCCGTTGACTTCTCGACTGCCTATTCTCAACAACGCAATCAGATGACTCCACCACTGTCTATTCTCAACACCGCAGTCAGATCAAACACATCCGAAGCAGCTGGTACTGCTACAGATTACGGTGACACATTCCAGTGAGTCAAACTCTTTCGCGACTTCCTCCTCTCACTGGAGACCATTCTAATGGTCGAGTGGGAGGAGATGTTTGGCCAAAATCGTGAATCGAAGTGACTGACTTCTTTTCAACCTCTGACAGCGGCGCTGCGTCGAAATGTTAGGTAATAAAGTGTCAGCTATAACAACCTGTGCGGCAGAAAAAAAAATTGAAATTCTTTGCTATTAAATCTGCAAAAATAAAATCATTTTCAATCAAATCTCCACTTACAGCCACTGCGCAAGCTGGACCAATATAACCATAATTTGCTTTTAGAGCTATTGCAGTTGCAAATAGAACATAGAACAAGCCGAAAATCTTTGCGGTCACCATAGCTGAAAGCGTGTGAAGAGCGTTGTAAGGGAAGTCCAAACTTCAAGAAACTTACCTACGATAAGTTGTTAGGAAGAGACAATTACGATAGGAGAGCACCGTTTGGGAATGTAGTGGAAAGCAAATATTGTGAAATTGTAGATTTCCTAGCAGCACTGGGGTTGGCTTATTTATAGATGCCTGGAAACAGTAGTTCCAATGTTCTTTCCCTCATGATGTGAGCTTTTTCTAAATACCTATTCTTCGAATAAGGGAAAAAATAAGAGCCACCCGGGATCAAAAGATGCTAGAAATTGCAACAGCACGAAAGTAAGGAACTCGACAAGAATGGAAGGAAACGCCGACAGTTGTGTAAATGTAACGGTGTGACAAAGGGATCGGGTTGAGGATAGCCCTAGTAAAAAAGCGAAGTTTAAGCAAAGGTGACACGGAGCCGCAAAGCGCGGCGAGCGCCACGAAAGGGCAGTGTTTAGCGACGAGGTGATTATCCCACGAGACTCGTCCTCGACTCGAACGTGTGCTCCACATACACACAAAGACAAACATGGCTTAGAGCTAAGAGTGACATGAGTTTTCGATGTGAATAGAACCAAAAAGAGGCTGCGACGAACTCCCCTCAGTCTTATTTTAGAAATAATGTGAAGCTTCTTTGAATGCCTGTTCGTAATTTTTTGGTCGAGCTTATGCTATAACTGTGTTTAGCATGCTCACTTATCCCAGTGCGAATTCCCAGCCCCGTAACTCAAACTTCACAAAAAATCGATAAATCGATAAAACTAATGGATGATTTTGAAAACCAATATAGTATTCGTAATCAGCATGCTCGATTACCCCCCTGTGCCAACTCCCAGCCCCGTAGATCAAACTTCACAAAAAATTGATAAAAATCGATAAAATCGATATCAATCGATAACGAAGAGCAGCCTATGACACCCGCTTCGCCCGAAGTGTATGGTGCCAGGTTTGGTCCGGATCTGTTCAGAAATGGAATTTTCTATACTTAACATACGTACACGCAGGTACTCTTTAATAAAGCGCAGGCACCCCCATCTGACATCAGTGTCGGTCTGTTCGTGCCATGTTTGGGTTGTTTACCACTATGCTCCATGAACCTGCACTTTACCACTGCCCTTTACCACTATGCTCCACGAACCTGCACTTTACCACTGCCCTTTTTTGTACAAGTGATCTTTGCCATCAGACTGTCTGTCTTCGCTATTGTTTATCAAGGTTCCTTACGCAGGCGCGAGCAGTCAAACGCTGCTACCACAACTCCTAAGCGGTGAGATCGATTAGTCTCATAACCGCTTCACGATATTTCGCTTTATTTCAGCTACGATTTGACTCCATTATCCGAATCTAAAGACGGGTAAGGTTCTACCATCGTTTGTTTCATCTGAAAGGCTATCATTCCCATCGCCCTGTGATACCTGCCTTTTCGCACCTCATCGTTTCTGTGACTATTTCTGATTCTTACAACTATCTCTCCTTTTATGCAACTCTGATCGCTCCTAGAGCAACAAAAGCGCACCAACATATGCAATCTCACTTTTATGAGCAATTTTTCATTTATGTTAAAATTATATTAGATTTGAGGATTTCATAATTGCTGCAAAGTTCTATGCCTCAAGAAGAAGTCAATTGAAGTTTTTTCTGAGAAACTCGAAATAAAAATGAAGCGATTTGAGCAGCAATCCTCCAATGTGGCTCCAATGTGGCTGCAATTATGTGGAATTTTTCCAGAAGCTGAGCAGTTTTTTTGAGAGTAACGTTTTGATCTCAAAACGATCATCATCTGCCATTTTGTATCAGTAAATACAAAAAAAACACGGTACAAGTATATTCAAACCGAAGAATTGGCAAAACTGACCAAAAAATCAATGATTCTAAAAAGATTCTATCAATTATCATTAACAATATAATGATGCTGTTTCCGTAATTTTGTCAAAACATTGCACAACCTCAAAATCGTATAGACAGTGTTTGGATGAACAGTTGAAATTGGATATACACTTTGATAGTAGCATTCTTGATTATATTCAAGTCAGTAGCCTACTAAGATGAGCTGGAAATTGAGGTAGACACTGGAGTTGGGCTTATCATAGGTGTTGAACAATTTGAAAAGCCCATATAGAACGCGAACGGGAGTTTGGAATTAGAATTTTTGAATTGAAAAGACTCTGAGCAAGCTTCCAACAACGCATGTTTCGTGATGAGGAAGGGATGTTCTTTGATTTAGAAGATTTTGTAACTATAAGATGGAACGTTGGCTAGAGCTGCAGCGATGTTCGCCCGCGGCCCTTTCATGACCGGGGACATCGCTTAATTCACCCCAGGTTTACATACGGGCCCAGAAGATCTAAAGGGAATGAAATATTAAGGTAGTTCGTAGGGACAGTCGAGGAGGAGAGCAGGGCCCCGGGTGAAAAGAGTCAGGAGGAATGTACACAGCTGTAGCTGGGAAAAGCTTGCCGAGTTTGTGACGTGACGGCCACTTTGTCAAAAAATTTCTGAATGTGAGAATTTAAGGGTATCCGAGGATTTTCACAAAATGTGTGAATGAGCCACTTTGGCAGCTACAGTTTGTCGAAAGGTGATCAAGCTAAAACGTTGCCTCAAAACCGCACGAAAACGCTAAGGACTTGCGGCATTTCCTTGCAGGGGAGTTTAAAGAAAAGGTGGGAACAGACAGGTCCCAACTAACCACTATTAGCAAACAGCAGACATGACGGAAAATCTTGGCGTGCGCGGCACAACATGCCAATTTTGGCTTGATTCGGGGGACTGTAAAGGCGCAGTTCGCATTTTCTCAACAGCAGCACATTTGGGGTAAGATTCGAAAGCGATTAAGTAAGATCTGAAGGATGTGGAATGGCAGAAAAGATTGGTAGTTCGGGAGTTTCATAAAGGAAATTGGATGAAAAAGAATGGGAGGAGAAGGGGATGCAGTTTGGCTCAAAGAACTCAGGAGACAGCAATACGCAAGTTTGCAAAGCGCAAGAGCATACCTAAAAGCTGGGAGGAAGCGGTTGAAATTCTGTTGGCACTTTTGTTAATAGAACTTAGGAAACCACGTAGCAAAAAAGATCCTCAGAATTAACTTTGATAATTTCTGGGTTTTTAAATGTCTAAAAAATCCGTGCCATACTTTTGAAGAAAAGGTTCCCAAATTCTATCTTTGACAGTCAATCTCACTACACACACATAGCCAGTCCGAAGCGCCGCGAAGCGGCGCTTTGGACTGGTCTTATATATAAAGCTGAATGTCTGTCTGTATGTATGTCTGTATGTCTGTCTGTATGTGTGTACGTATGTTCCGAATAGAAAATTTCATTTCTGAACCGATCCGGACCAAACTTGGCACACATACACTACGGGCCCCGGCGGGTGTCATAGGCTACTTTTCGTCATCGATCGATATCGATTTTATCGATTTTTATCGATTTTTTTGCTGAGTTCACCTACGGGGCTGGGAGTTGGCACAGGGGGGTAATCGAGCATGGGGATTCCGAATACAATATTGGTTTTCAGGATTATCGATTACTTTTATCGATTTTATCGATTTTTTTGCAAAGTTTGAGCTACGGGGCTGGGAGTTGGCACAGGGGGGTAATCGAGCATGCTGATCATCCCCAAGGGGGGTGATCAGCATGCTGAAAACCGATATTGTATTCGGAATCCCCATGCTCGATTACCCCCCTGTGCGAACTCCCAGCCCCGCAGGTCAAACTTTACAAAAAAAAATCGATAAAATCGTTAAAGTAATGGACGATCCTGAAAACTAATATTGTGTTCGTAATCAGCATGCTCGATTACCCCCTGTGCAAAATCCCAGCCTCGCATGTCAAAATTTACAAAAAATCAATAAAATCTATAAAAGTAATCGATAATTCTGAAAACTAATATTATATTCGGAATCCCCATGCTCACTTCCCCCCCGTGTGCCAACTCCTAGCCCTGTAGGTGAACTCTGCAAAAAAATCGATAAAAATCGGTAAAATCGACATCGATCGATAACGAAAAGTGGACTGTGACACCCGCCGGGGCCCGAAGTGTATGTGTGCCAAGTTTGGTCCGGATACGGCGGAGCCGGGTAAGCCAGCTAGTATAAGATAAAGTATGCTGCTATAAATTATGTTTAAGCGCAAAATTCGCGGCTCTAGGCGCAGTCGCTAGAACAGGAGAATGTTCCAGAATCTTCAACGAAAACAAGGCCCCTTTTTCCTTATTACTCTATATAAAGTACGATTCGAAATTTTTCCTAACGTTTTTTAACGGTGAGTGACTTTTGTTCTAAGAGAGATGTGAGAAAAGAAAACGGAGAATGATTTTCTGGAGGCTCTCGGCAATTCTGCAAAAACTGCTTTCCTTTGGCCTCAGAGGTTGATGACATGGTTGATTTATCGTATATCATTTTATCATTATCGATACTGTCATTGTAACAGATAAATTTCTACGAATTTTCTGTTTCGACTCGTCTGATGAATGGCAACGGTCCGATGAGACTCTATCATGTACTATACAGTAGGTGAGATGCGATAGACAGGTTAGTGGAACTCAGACAATCAAAGGCTTTTAGCGGGCAGCCACAATGCTATCGCCAAGCCCCACCAAAAGCGCCGTGGCCTTATCGCCTTACTGTCGCTTCCCGCTGAGAACCGTGTCAGAACTGGCAGCAAGCGGGCTGCTATAACCGCCGCTTTCGCTTCGCGCTGAGGACTTTATAGCAGCCCGCTCGCTGCCAGTTCCGACATGGTTCTCAGCGGGAAGCGACAGTGAGGCGAGAAGGCCACGGCGCTTTTGCTGGGTTTTAGCGGTGGCTTTGTGGCTGCCCGCTGAGAGCCTTTGATTGTCTTTACTGAGGAAACACATGTGTTTCCTCAGTCGTTGTAGTACCAGATCGCGCAGCGACTAAAATCGTGTGATGCATGCCTTAAACCTAAGAAGATGATACCGCCAAGCTGTAGTCAAAAAAAAAAATAAAGGAGATATCAATCTTCGTGTACAGCTAAGCAGTTCATAAAAAGAACTTTTCAAAGTTGAAAAGACAAAAGATGGTAGCAGGAAATGACATTTCAGTGCACATTTATCTGACATACTGATTACAAACATTACACACTTTTGCAAGGTAGAGCTTTAGCTTGAGCTTATCTTCTATCTTTTATCGTTGGGATGACGTGCGCGTTAACAGGCAAAACTTAGAAGATTGATACCTAGTACACTCACAATTCAAACATTAGTAGCAGGAGCAGTACAGAAAATCGGCCGGCAAATCCTTTGATGGCTGGGGGAATGAGATTGAGCTCCAACTAGGACGCAACCTCGTAATTATTACAGGCCACGATGTCCACTTGACAATACTGGCCTAACAAGGGAACGATACTCAATGTCCGTGGCCTTTTCGAAACATGGTTCACACCATTACACTCGTCTTCGAACGCTGATTCCGAATCTGCCTTCCGTTTCTGCTAATCGTTTCTCTGAAAGAAGTTATGGGGGAATTTCGAGCCAAATTTGGCTGCTCAAGGGAAATATGGTCATCGAAACGGTCTCTACCGCGGCCATTTTCTGGTCTAGTGGTTAGTGCGATAGCCTTATACGTTGATGCAAGTGTAGGTTCAAATCCTTTTGTGTTTTTACCTTTGCATTACCTCAATTAAGCATGTTCGAGAAAATTTACTTGAACTATGATCATTGGATACAATTTAGTGCAAATAGTAATCATTTTTTCCAAATTTCCAGATTTTTTAAAGAGTAAGAGCGTTCACTTAGCTCGATGATGCGAAAGAAGGTTAATTGAGGTAATGCAAAACTGAAAAACACAAAAGGATTCGAACCTGCACCTGCATCAACTCATGAGGCTATCGCACTAACCACTAGACCACAGTCCACCCGCGGCTGTGGCTTCTCCGACCATATTTCACTGGGCAGTTAGAATCCGCGCGATCCATTATAACATCTTTGAAGCGATTAGCAGAAACAGGAGTCAGGTTCGAAATCAGTGTTCCAAGACGAGTGTAATGGTATACACCTCATCTCAAAAGGCCACGGACATCGAGTATCGTTTCCTCGTAAGGAATTTTGGAAAGTGCTTTTTTTTCCATTTAGCAGGCCTAGACTAAGTAGCACGATAAGCATGATGATGATAATTTGTAAAGCAGATTGTGCGGTTGTGCTGAATACCCAATGGCATGCCGGGAGTCTTATACCGACTGAAACTCTGTCGAACAGGGCTTATCATCATTACTCTCTTAAAGGCAGTGTCCAAGCTAAACCTAACCCCCTCTGATTAGTGTCGATCCTGACTGTAGGTCCCAGAAAAGGGGCATCTGCGTTGGTCCGGTGTTCTGTGTGAAGTTCAAAGCATCAATGGACGATTGTCAAAAAGTCAGATCAGTACACCCAAGCAAAAAAACTTCTTTGTTTATTTTGCGTTTTAAACTGCCACACCCTACCAGATCAAATACTCAAGACGATGAAAGCGTAAACGAAATGAATTCTATTATTAATGACAACATTTTGTTGTGAACGTGCGTGGGAGAAATTGATTTGCGTCTTTATGTTTTTTACATTTTTGAGGGCCGGCTTCTCCACCTCAGCTGGGGAGGTGCGATATCGGTATGATCGCACTTAAGGGCCGGACATACATTGCGCGATTTCATCGCCTTGCGATTCTCTAAACAAGACAACTATTACAGCATCATTGTATGTCGGTCACCTTGCACTTCGGTTGTGATAGTTCTCCAACTCGACTGATCGCGAATAATTATCACAACCCAAAAGCAGGATGACGCCATGCAATGATGTTGTAACAGTTGTCTTGTTGGGAAAATCGCGAGGCGATGGAATCGCGTGATATATGCCCGGCCATTTATCCTGCTAATGTTTTGCACATCACTAAACAACTAAACAATAATCTTACCCTATTTTCAGGTGTATAAGCCGCACTTTTTCAAATTTCTAAACGAGCTGCTCAGCCACTTCATTGTGTTTCGAGAAGCGATCCTTATGCCGCACGATTCTTTTAGATAATACGCAGCACGGTATAGGGTCCTTTGGCGGAGGTCTTTTGATGTGTTCGGGCTGGTCGATGTAAGCTAGGACCACTCCGCGGCTTATACATTTGAAAATAGGGTACTTTATGGGACGTAGGCGCAAGGACTAGCTCCCAGCTTGCACGATTTAAGGGAGAGGGGGGGGGTAATATGACGACTAGAGATTGCTCAAATTCTTCTATAGAAGTCAGCGGAAAGTTTACCCAGCTGGTGATTCAAACTCTAAGATTCCCTTAATTCATTATCGGCACTATTTCACAACATTATTTACTCAATGGGAGGGCCACAAACTTTTTACTACTTGAGTTTCTCGCACACGTACTTGTTATCTCTGCAAATACAGACTTAACAGTCACGGGAGTATAAAAGCCTCGAAATTTCTGTCCTAGTCTTATTGTTACCATTCACAGGTTTGCTTCAAGCGTTCAGTTAAGAATGTTTTCCCATGGGTTAGGCCAGACTGCGCGCCATAGCGGCATACTCTCGCTATAATAAAACATGGCGAGCGTACGCCGCGTACGCTACGCAGTCTAGCCCAACCCTTTAACTCTATCTAGCATTTTCTTACAGTTTGACACTTTGGCTTCTTTGATTATTTGAGTAAAGCTTTGGGTACGTTGTATTGAATGTAAATTCAGGTAAATGATTCCTTATAACATTGCCCTATTCTTGGCAGCCACTTTGCTGTCAATCCACTGTATAGCCGCCCAGGGAGACTTTGGTCTGCAGACGAATCCAGGCGTCGTAATTTCCAATGCTGCGGAAGGCAGACCTGCGGAAAGACATGTAGAAGCTACTGGGTAAGCAACTCTTCCTTAGAATCATTTAGTCTCAATATTTGTATTAGACTTCTACGAAGCAAGCGATTTGTATGGGGATATCCATATGGATGGACACGTCCTTGGGGATTCTATCCCTGGAGCCCATGGTGGCGCTCCTACGGATGGCCACACGGATGGGTATACTACCCTTGGCTCAAGGCATAATTGAGCACCTACTTGATTTTGTTTTTGATAAATGTTAGGAAGAATAGATATGTTGCACAGGTTACACTTCGAAAGTAACGCCCTGGAAAACGCTTTAAGACCTCTGCTGAGATTACTTTATGCCTTTCGAAGTCTGTACAGAACGTCTATGATCTTATGGTTTGGATGTAAATTAGACAAAGCATCGCTACGACATTATCTATTTGCACATCCACAGATCCACATCGTGAATAGAATATCATTGATAACAATGAGTATAGTACTAGATAATAGCATTAGACGAGTGACCAAAGAGACGTACCTTTTCAACCACTACTCCTCCAAAAGAAAATAATGAGAAAATTGCTTTATTGCAGGTGCAAAAATGAAGAAGGTTTTGATACAAATCTATACTATTTACATCAAACATTGAACCATTAGGCAAGAATATTAGCAGGCGACAAGGTCATCGTTTTAATGGTGTATGGCTCTGCATCGAGAGAGTTTGTGAGTTTGCGGCAATGCAAGCTCATCAAGCTTTGTCAGTTGCCTTTCTCCTTTGAACTCTTTCTACCAGATATCGATTTCAGTTATCTGGAACATTTTTAAAAAGTACGGAGTTGTTTAATTGTTTAAGCCATTGTGGCATCGTGCGTGTGCAATGGTCGCAAAATCACCACTTTCGCCGACTACGCAGAGCTCTATAACAAACTCACCTCATAAGGGAAGGTTTTTACTCGAAGGTAACCTTCCCAGTGCAACTGTACACTCTGATTAGTTTTTAACCTGCTCCCAAATCTGTTTTCCCTATCTGCACAGCGTCTTTGCGCGACGAGTCATGAGTGTTTTTTGGAGTAAAGAAAAGCGCTCAGATCTTAGTAACTAATGTTGTGGTCTCTTCAGCGCTCAAATAACGCAGTGTTGAGTATATGATATAATAAATAAAAGGCATTCATTGTATGAGGCTCCCTTATATTCGAACGTCCTACCGCAGCAGGGTAGACAAGAAATAGATGTATAGCTTACAGAGAAAGAGCAAAGCAAGCTCTACAGGATAGAGCACGAACATTTACGAAAACTTTGTTCCATCCGTTGTTTGAAATCAAACAAAAATTTTAGATTACGTCTCTCCGTCTACAGAAATCTCAAGGATCTCCAATTTGCACAGGCCTATACTCTTCACATTAGACCTGCAACTGCTTGTGGAATTCTTCCATGATAGTATACGAGGAACAAAAATAGGTCAAAATTGCCAATGTGTTGCGTTTTTCGGGTGTTTTGCGAGAACTGATGTTTTTCAAAAACGCGATGTCATGTCAGATTTATAAACCAGAAATCGGCATGAGATTAAACCAGAATTACTCATAGGGAAGAATCATGTCACAACCACTTACAAAATTCTTATAAAAGCTCACCAAATTAACCATAAATAAGGTGCATATCATCAGTTTCTATAAATCACTGGCTATTGCCATGCATACCTTGTTTGACTGACTATTAGGTTGGTAAGAAAGTTCTCTGACATTGCCTTCACACAAAGATTTTGCTTCGATGCAAGCACCAAGTAGGGCATGCTATACATTATTGGATAGAGGAAAGCAAACACTACAAGACCATACTAATCGCAACCATGACCAATGAATCCTGTGAAAATAGAGACGAACATTCAAAGACATAGGATTTCGACAGAGCTCAGAACCCCACCTTCCGTAAACACTGCAACACTCACAAATAGTCCAATATATAGTAAACGTGAACTCACATACATATATGCAAAGTTTGTACGGAATTTGAGCTTAATTAGCAGGAAAAATGAGAAAATCGAAAAGTGGCAAACTCCGCCCCTATTGACCCTAAGCTCCTCCCACCTGCACAGTTATAAGCCGTGTATATGTGAGAGTACAACTACAAATTTTGTCGTTTGTAGATGCATTACAACCCGAGAAATAGCAATTATAGCGTAAAAATGTCCGAAAATTTTCTTACCAACCTAATACAACTTTTACAGTTTGATTCCAACTAGTAATCATTCATTATGTAGTAGAGTACAAATTTGAACTTGTTGGTCACATCTGCAAAGCGTCTTCGTGGGATACCTTAGAACGTGCGCAAGGGCTTAGCGACGCAGATGCGTAAACCAAAAATTACAGAAAAAGGAATAAGATAGACACAGCCTGTAGTGCAAGAGATTACTTTCATGGCAGTCGCACAGCAGAGCGAAATCAGTTGTGCTTAACTCAGTAGAGTGTTTCAATCACGGAACTAAGTCTTAGTGAGGGCAAAGCGAGGTTTTTCGATGATGTAACTAAGGCTTTATGAGGGCAGTGCTACTCGCAATCAATTGCTTTTAAAGTCTCAAAAAATGGATATCGTGTTGCGATCCACGCGTCTTCAGACCTACGAAACCTAAAGTGAAAATTAGCTTGATATGTGCCTTAATGACGACACTTTGATATGCTGCTTTATTCGCCTCATCTCAACAGAAATAAATCATGGCGGTGTTCTATGTGTTCTTCCAGCAAAAAACTTTCCATAGCAACAGTTTAGGCCTTGGATTTCAACCATGGATAGCCGTAGAAGCCGCCAAAGCCATATGGTCCATATGGTCCACAAGGATAGCCGTAACAGCCGTATCCGTAGGGGTATCCATAGTATCCGTATCCGTATCTCCAAGGGTATCCAAACAAGCCCCATCTCTTGCTTCGTCTGTAAAGGAGTAACGAGAGCTGATATTACTAGAGTAGTAGCTCTTTCTTACTCAACAATCACTGATTTTGGAAACATTCCATGACCGTCAGCTGTAACGGGCGCAGCTTCCACATCTGCCTCGAGGTTAACTTCTGCTTGTGCCATAGCCAAATTGACCAGAAGAGGAATAAGGAAGTAGAGGGCGCTTCGGTTTGCGTACATTTGCCTAGTTCAGTAATTATTATACTTTAAAGGATAAAAATACAGAACTTATAAATGTTTATGAACTGGAGTCAGAATATCTCAAATTTACTGATATTTTTTATATAAAGCTTGGAGCATGCAAGAAAGTTTGGAGAGGGGATAGGAGATATTAATCTCAGACTTTCAAACTTATTTGCTCTTATTGGAGGGAAGGATTAAGCTGTGTTTTTGATATTGCGGTAGGCTTTTATAGCAACTAAGGCCAAACATGAATTTCTGTAAACACATCATGAGCTAAGAAAAATTTTCGGTGCTCTTTAATTACGCAAACAATACGCAAGCTGGAGCAAGTGATCGAGCGATGTTTTCAAACACCTTTAAGAATCCTTCCGCATCGTTTCTTCCTAACACTAACCAATTTGATTTACATTCAGGAAAAAGGTGCCGACCTAACAAATAGAAAGTACTGTAGGAAAACTCCGTAGAACAAAAAATTTTTTTTTCATGCCCCAGCAAAAACAACTTTTCTCGTAATCTCAATGAGTTGCTCACTCAAGAATGTTAATATTTACACTTCGGGTACTGAAAAAAAGGGATTTTTTTCTGGGAGTTTTTTTTTCTTGCGCTCTTAAGCAATGTCGTTGTTGCTCTTCAAGAACGAGGTTCTAGGAAGATGCCAGATTGGATGGATCGGACACGCACAGTTGGCACAGCAAGAATTCTTTGACAAAACTTTTGATTGGTGAGTAGCTAAATGAGGCAGAGACGAAGTGGTTAAAGGCAGTGTCTCACCAAGATTTAGTTGCCGAGATTTTTGCATTTTGTAAGCCTGTCGAACCCTGTTTAGCACTGTATGGGCTTAAAATCGCACGAAGTACTCAAAAATCCCGTTTTCTGGAGGTCCCGCGGAAGCAACGTGGACGAGTTGTACCTCGCGACTTCAGGCTCAGCCACAGTGGCAGCAACAGAGGGGAGGTGGATGCCAAGTGGAGGGACATGTTCAAACGCGTAAGGGGGAGACCGAAGGAGTCGTCCGCTCGTACCAAATCGCTCTCCGCGTACCACTTTAAGCGAATTTTTCTCAGCGTGGAGGGGGTCAGATTGAGACTTGTTGCAATGGCCTATTCAGAAGTCCCTATAATAGAATATGTGAAGATCCGCGCGACCTCAACTTTGGTGAGACACTGCCTTTAAACGTCTCAATCAGCAAAATCATAAGAGTTGAACGTGCGACGCCGAACACGATTTTTCCTCGGCCACTTTTGACGCTTTTTTCATTTCTTTCGCCTACTCAGTACTCAATTTTTGAATAAGAGATATTAGTTGTTTTGTGATTTTTTCATTTTGTCGAAATTCTGCTAACTTTGTTTTTTCAGATTAGGAATTGTATAGTATGGAACAGAGCAAGTTTTCAAGACAATTACTGAACGCACAATATGAACTCTGATGCAAGTAAGGTTTGGGCATTCATAAATTTACAAATGTTGTTCAAATCAAGTAGAAGCCACAATCGCGCAGATCTTTTACCTGCTCATTCGCGCATATATTTTTTACGCGGCAGTCCTTTTGTGACATTTGCAATTTGAATGCCAAAATTCACGTAATACACTACTCAACAAAAGCTCTACAACACAACCACCTCTTTCTCAGAAATCGTGGCCTCTTCAAATGCCAAGCTGTGCGGCTAGCGCACGCACCCCAAAAATTTTTGTCACCCCCCCCCCCCCTGTCGGAAACTCTGCGACCGCCACTGGTAATCAAGTATGTACTATGAAATGGAGCATGTGGGGGGCGTAACGTTTATAGAAGTTGAAGATCTGGGTTAGTTTGAGTTCCCACAAAACTTCTTACAATTAGAAAACATTGGTACTTGTGCTTACCATAACTTTGTAGAAGTGTACTTTCTCTATCCAATAGTGTGCAGCATACCACATTCAGTGCTTACACCGAAACAAAAACTTTGTCGAAATGCGATGTTCGAAAACTTTCTTTCAACCTGACACAGTCAAGTAGGAGCTTGTAGGATTATTCCGGTTTGAGGTCCAATTTTTGAGGCACTCAATGTTCTTGTTTTTAGTTTCAAACTTCATGCGGACTAGGTTTTACGGAAAATCTAGTAGTCATTTTGTAGAGCAGGCTTTGCTATATCAAGCAATGCTCCCATGCCTTCTTGTATTCTCAATGCGGCTGTTTAAGACAAAGCGCCCATTTCCTTTGCAACAACCCAATGGATCATTGTGAAGTAGAGACAGACGACGAGGTAAAGACATGCATTTTTTACCTGACCGGATGTATACTTCAAAAATTTGCAAGATGACAATTTGTGGCGCAACGAACATTACAACTTATTGTTAGAAGTAATCTCGTAAAAATCGTGCCGCCCGCTTATTGCGGGCGGTGCAGGAGGAACCAAAGGCTTGCCGTTTGCAACCGCAGGAAATAATTAACAGCACGAGCAACGTAGAGTAAATCTGGCAAGATTCCAAGACTTGGCAAGGATATCTGTCTGGAAAGATTCCTCATAATTCTGCTCCGAAGAAATTTTGAAAGATTATGACAGATTTGAGATCAACGTTTGAATGGGCTTTTTTCGAACCTTCGGAACAATGCTTTCGCCATTTTAACCTTATTTTAAAATAGAATGAAACATAATGGAGAGACAAATCTTTTGACCGTCACCGTTGAAAATTGAAAATTCGAGTTCAATATTCTATGAAAGCGCATCTTTGAAAATTTGATTTTTCGAAACTCTGTTCATGTTTCAAAATGACGATAACAGCGGTAGACTGGAATTCCATCGTGTTTTTAACAAAATTTCAATTGGTTTCCATTTGTTAATTATGTCCTCAAAAAAATCATCGATTAAAGTATCGAGGAAGTTGAAATCAATCTTAGAAAAGTTGGTGAAATCGCTGAGCATCGAAACAAGGACAAGCTCTAAAATCCTTCGCTGAGCTTCCAGACATGATTTCGATGATATCTCATGCGAAATAGTTTTCTAATATGAAGCAAACTTACGTGTTTTGAGAAGAAATTTGAATTGGAAGTCTGACTTTTCAAGAATTTGAAACATGGAACTTCATAGTGAAGAAAGTATGTATTCTCTTATGTTTCCGTATCAAAACATTTGCGAAATTTTTGGTTACGAGTAAGTCTACTAAATGCGCCGATACTAATTTCAAATCTTTCAAAATTTTCTACAAGCATAGTTATGAATATTTACATTACTGCCGAGTTTTGGGTACTTGCCAAATCTTTTCAGCATTGCTCGCGTTCTTAATTAGTTCCTGCGGATACAGCGGCAAGGCCTTTGCTTCCTCCTGCACCACCCCGCTTATTGCTGTATACAATTTTGTTGTTCCTTGTTAGTATTATGGGTGTTATTAAGATAAACAATTTTTCTATTTAGGTTCTGGATCCAACAAGTAGACCAAGTTTCCGCTTCTTATTCATTTTTGTACTTTCAGGTTTTACACTTATTGCAGATCACTTTTCAAACAAGCTCATGAAACAACATTATGACAGCCTCGTCAAAATATCGTGTTGTATCTACATATGCTTGGCTACTAAATGATTTGGACTTTCTAAACTATTGAATCTGCTCGCAATCCAACAAAGTTTCTTTGTCAAAATACATGCAAAGGGCTGTTTGTTGTGTTCCATCCTTCGCAACCGATATGCCGTCCAGTCCTCAGGTCATTACTCAACGTTAATGTTACTGAATAATCGCCTTTGATGTGTTCTGCGCATTGCTGGTCGTGTTCTCCTTCAAGTGTTTTGCTCAGCCGTGTTTAAAAATCACACTTTATTCATTTCCTCTCAAATCAACACCCCTACAATAGCATTCCATCAACATTGAACTATATAGACTTGGAGAAACAATTCACGCCTTTGCCCTGAACCAAGGAACACCCCAGCTGTACGCAACTGGGTAAACGTATCTCCATGGATATACCCAGACCCATCGCTTTGTTCGTGCATATGGGCTAAACAAAGCAGCTGCTTGAGTACATACATACAAAAAAAAAACAAGAAAAGCAGCTACTTAGAGACTTCGGCAGCTCTTGGTACTATTTGACGGTCTCCGTATTCCGGAAACACGGGTGCTTGGTTCAGATTCGCAGCAACGTTGTACTCACCATCGGCTACAGTCCATTGGAACAATGTTAAAGCAATTATGAGAGGTAAGACGCCTTGGCTGCCAAACATTTTCTAAAAAGACCACTTAGCAGTCTCCATCATTAAAGGCAGTGTCCAAACTTGATTCTGAGATTTTGTGCTTATACGTGCTGAATCTGAAAATCCACACTGAAAAGCACAAAAACGGCAAAAAGGGCTCTAGCACAGGAGAGAAACAGCAAGTGGACGGGGTCTGCCCCCAAGGTGAATTCACGCTCCCATCTCCCGGAGCGATCTTCTCAATTCCGCTTACTGCCCTGACATCGCCACCGGCCAAGCCTGACCGTGACTTGAAATCGAACCGACAAGATCGCTGCGGAAGCTGGGAGCGTAAATCCACAGTTGGCAGGACCCCGCTCACCTGCTTATTTCCCTCCTGTGTTAGAGCCGTTCGCAGCTTTCGCGCTCTTCAATGTGCATTTTCAGATTCAGCGTAGCGAATGGGCCCGGGTAAGCGTAAAATTCAAAATCGAATTTTTGGCCGGACACTGCCTTTAAGGTGTAAGTTTCCACAAACAGTTCATGTGTCAGTAAAACACTTGATATTCTATGTCAAGTTTTTTTAGATTACATTAAGCTAGAGAAACAGCATAATTTGGTTCGAGAAGGATTGAGCAGTAAAAGGAAAGGGAAAAAAAGCTGTAAAGGCAAAATCCTGATCTTGTCAGTATGGCAACCCTTTTATACATATGTCTGATTACTCGCAGTATCTCTATAAATACTGCGAAATTTAACCTTATACAGAAAAACTTGTCGAACTTAGGTAAACAAGGGTAAACATA